AGCACTGCAGGCAGTCCTGCGACCTCTGCAGTCACACTCTGTCCCTTCTGCCCTCCTTTCAGGGCTGGGAGTGGTGGGGGTCACATGTGGATACAGCATCAGGGGAAGCAGGGCAGAGGGAGAACCTCTGGGATGTCTCTTCCATTCATATCACAAAGGGACCCACAGAGCCGTGTTTACAGGATCCCCGTGGCAGCCTTTGGGAATACTTATGTTTTCTTATATTCTTAAAGCCCTCAGCTGCCTTTTCTCCCCTGTGTTTCACCTCCAGGTTCGCATATGCCAGCCCCATGTGGTGAGCTGGCAGCCCAAAGGGGCTCTGGGAGCAGGTTGCTGTCGATGCAGGGCTTTGTTGTGGTCTGTGCTGAGCTGCTGCCTTTCTTTTTCCCTCCTTGTCTTGCTGCTCAGCACAAAACTGTTCCCAGCATCTCATTAACAAATGTCTGGTCATCCAGATGACTCTGCTCCCGGCCGGTGGTTGCTGTTAGACCTCTGAGCAGGAACACAGCTGTACTTACGGTGAAGGTAAAACAGAAACAGCCTTGTTTTCAAGGGAAACATTGCCTCGTGATGAGAATGCCTGGGTTGGGAGTCAGATGCTGTGGCTCATGCTGCTGGCTCGCTCACAGCTCTGGGAAAGGCACTTAACCTCCCCATAGCTCTGCTGATCCATCTGGGAACAATGCTGGCTTATCCCACAGGAGCTTCTGGGGAACCAGATCATTTTTGGTAAATCACATCAGGGTCCTGGGGGTTGGAAAGGCTGTTGTGCATGCTGAGGTGGGTGCTGGGGGGTCTCTGTCTCCCTGGGCTGGCTGGGTGTCGGAGCCGTGGGGAAGCTGCAAAGCTCCTGCTGGAGTCCAAGTCTCCATGTCAAAGTTTGACCAAGTTCACCTGGATACTCCCAGTAGGGCCTGGCTCTTCTCTGCTGGTTTTCAGAGCTTTGTCCTGGTATCTCAGTGACCTCCATGCCCCTCACCCCCTTGTGCAGGGCAAGCTTTGAGCCCCAAACTGCTAGAGACCTCTGCTCTCCTGCCTCACCAGAGGCCAGATGGGAGTTTATTGCCCACATCTGCTTCCTTCACCTGCCCTCATGGCTCAGTGTCACCGAATCCTCTTTCCCCAAGTGCTGGGGCTTATCTTGAAAGAGGAACCTGCTCTGCTCTGCTCACCCTGAATGGGATCCAGCAACTGTTCTCCCTCCCGCGCGAGCAGCACTGGTGAATGAAACCAACCGAACAAATGAGAGCCTCAAACTTGAGGTGTTCCCCTTTCCAGGCTAGGATGTGAGTAGTGTCTCAGCCAGAAGTCGTGCTTCTTTAGTCTGCTCTCCCCCTGAGACAGAGCACTTCAGGTCAGACCTGCTCTCTTGCCTTTTTGCCACAGGGTTGTGTGTGTGCACTGGGCAGTGTTTAAATGGTTGCTGCATCCCCCACAGTGCTGGGTTGCAGTTTGGGGCTCTGTGAGTGTCAAGAGAACTTTTGGCACTGCAGAACCTCCCTGCCCCAGCTCTGGGGGGTGGTGGGGCCTGACTCCAGGGTCTCTACCTCCTGCAAGCAGCATGTGCAGCAGGAGGGAAGCATGCCCTGCCCCGACTCCTCCAGCAAGTGATGTTTTAGGCTCCAACAAGAAAATGTGGATTCCTTCTCCAGCTCTGGGGAGGAGAGGCAAAGGCAGGGGATTGCCTCTTGCAGAGGAATAAGATCTCTGCTTCCTCATTGCCTGCTCTGGAGCATCCTCCTTTCGGATGTGGGGTGGGGAAGGGGATGTGACGGGAGTTCTGATGGAACAGTGTGTCCTCTCTGGAAGAGGCCCACGGATTGAGACATTGAAACACTGACGTGCTGTTGCTACCACAGTCCTTGTGATCAGCTCAGGAATTCCAAATATTTCCTCTCAGATAAAGGTGACTGGGGGAGACCAGAAATATCTGGACGTGTCTGGGCAAGCCTGAGATCCAAACACCAGGCCAGAGAGGTCAGGATCAGTCCTGGGAGTGCTGGGCTTCAGGTGCAGAGCAGCCGAGACCCGGGATGGTGTGGGAACAGAGCAAGCTGCCTTTCCCTAACCTTCAACCCGCCCCCAGCATGGGCAGGGAGGACGTTCCTGCCTGTTTTCCCACTCCCTCTGGTCTGGGATCTGGTTCCCAGGGGACACATCTGGGATCAAAGTTGTGCAGAGGCTAAGCTATCACATCTCCTAGGGTGGTTTCCCCAGGGAAGGGCAAGGAACTCTCCTCGGGTCCCCTACGGACCCCAGCTGTGGCTCCAGCAGCTGCTGCTCCCTTCCCAAGGGAAGGAGAGGGGCTCAAGTCCTCTCCCTGCCTGTGCCAGGCTCTGGCTGTGCTCCTCTCTGCCTGTAGCACCCGATAGCTCTGCGTTCACTGTGCGCTATTTATCTCTCCTTCAGCAAACACTTCCTTTTCTTGGAAGCAAGGGCTTCTTGGAACTGCCTTTCCCCAAAGGCAGCACATGCCATGGAAAAAGCAGCATGGAGAACCGGCTGCCAGCCCTCCTTGGCTCCCTGCCCTGCTGGGGGGGCCTCTCCTGGTGCCTGCCCCACGGAGAGGCTGGGTGGATGTGTGGCCCTGTCCAGCACTGAAGCACAGTGGGGACATCCCTGCCGTGGGTCAGGAGGAGCCTGTGGAGATGTGTGGGACTCTCAGTGGGGCAGGTCCTGCTGAGTCCCTGAGGAAAGCAGATCTTCTGGGGAATACATCACAAGGATGCAGCTGCCTTCCTGCAGCTGAGCATGCTGCAGCCTCGGGTGCTGTGAGCAAGTGGCTGGGATGTGTGTCCGAGGAAAGAACCATCCCTGGAGCGAGGGCCCTGGCACTGAGAGATCAAAACATATGCTGAGTTGGAAGGGACCCACAAGAATCATCAAGTCCAACTCCTGGCCCTGCACAGGACAGCCCAGCAAGCCCACCATGTTCCTGAGAGTGTGGTCCAAACACTCCTTGAACTCTGGTTCAGGCTTAGTGCCATGACCACTGCCCTGGGGAGCTGGGCCCAACAGCCTCCTGGTGAAGAACCTTTTTCTAACATCCAACCTAAATCTCCCCAGACACAAATGTTGTAGGGGTGGTGTTTTTTGGACAGGTGCCTTCTACCTCAGTTCCCTGTGCCCTCCATCCCTGCCAGCCTGCTCTCAGTTTGCTGCCACTGCCATGCCCTGTCACAGCTCCATACTCATCACCACCTATCAGCAGAGGGATTTCCTGTGCCAGAATTTAAAATATCTCCTTCTTGGTTTGGGCTCTGCTCCTGTGCCTCTCCTTCAGCACATCACTCGCTGTTCCCTAGATGAGTGGACTGGCAGCAGCCAGCAGCCCTCACCTTTTTCCCGGGACAACATCTGCCTGTGAGCTCCATGCTGCCCATTCCTGCAGGGCCAGGACACAGTACAACGCCTCCACAGATCCCATGACAGCTGGCAGGCATGGTGGGAAGTGAGCTGCATTCTGCCACTCTGTGTAGGTGGTGGGAGTCATGGGGATGACTGTCATATCCCTGAAGAGGACTCCTGAGTGAGGTGGCAGCAGTGACATACTCCAGGGTGAGTTAGCAAAGTCCCTGTGTCCCAATGCTCTGCATTTGGGTTTGTGAGTACCTCCTCATGGTCATGGGGTGTGGAAGGCAGCTGGGAGAGGTGTTTGGTGGGAGATGGAGAAGAGCTTTGTTGGCAGAGGCAGGTACTGAGGTGCACAGCTTATCAAGGACCTCATCCCCTGTGGTGGGGAGCCCTGTGGCCATGGAGAGGGACACAGCCCAGCTCCCTGGGAGTAAGCAGGCAGGTCTGCTGCACACCCTCCTTTGAAAAACTGTGTCTGAGCTTGGTCTGAGGAGATACCCCACAAGCTGTGACCATCCTGGGGCTGTTTGGTGTGAGCTGGGAGACTTGGCACCATGTTCCATGGAAGAGAGGCACCTGGATGGCAGCCATGAGCTGGGCACCAAACCCCCGCAGTGCTGCTGTGGGCAGCGTGGGAGGCAGAGTGCTGGCAGAGCCGGCAGGCAGGAATGCTCCCCCTGCCTGCGCAGAGGCCGGCGAGGCGTGACAGCGTCAGCCGGGCTTATCTCTGCTTTCCCAGAGCAGCTGGTTACTGGAACTGCACTCACTTACCAGGAAACAGGGGATCTTGCTGGGAAGATGGGCTCAAGGTGCGACAGCATCGAGCCCCTGCTGACGCTGAGCTTCTGGTGATCCCTGAGCCTGGAGCTCACAGCTTCCTCTCCGTCCAGCTCTGAGCCTCCTGCTCAGCCCTGATAAACCTGAGAGATCCTGGGCCACGTGTTTCCCTGCTGCCTGCCCAGGGACCCCTCCTGCCCTGCTGTGTGTGGCACAGAGACCCCAACAGCTCTCCTTACCATGGGCTGAGGTCTCCCCAGCTCCTGCTGCTGCTGGAGGCAGCCAGCTCGGACGAGCCAGGCCGGAGTGACTGCATTCCTGGCCAAGCCTCGTGCTTGGCCTGCTCTCCTGAAGCCGTGGGAAGGCAGTAGCTTGGCGACCCAATGTCTGCCTTCGCTGTAGGGATTCGTGAAATCCAGCTCGTGTTGTGGAGTAACCTGCAAGGGCCAGGATGTGGGAGTGGGAGGTGGGAGGCTCCACTGTGGACACAAAATCACTGGGGGGATGCACGGTGTGGGCTCCCGCAGCCGTGGGCACCAGCGCTGCTGCTGCTTCCACGGGCCTCGGCCAGGGAATGGAGCCCAGCGGGTTCCCACTGCAATGATTTCTATCACACTTGGATGCTAATTTTAGAGAGCCAAGAGCACGTGATGCATCCCCTGCCCTGCCCGCGTGGTGTTCTCCTCACAAATCCTTTCTGGCATCCTCTTCTCTCATGACTGTGCTTCTCCCCTTGCCCTGTGTGCATGATTCAGAGTGAGGAAGCACAAGGCATCTGTCATCTGCTCGGTCCCCACCACCGCTTTCCTGCCAGCCCTTCCCTCTGCTCCCCTCACACCCCTGTGCTCACCGCTCTCCTCTTTCCACAGGAGCGCTTTGTGGACCTCTATGGGAACGATGCTGCTGCCGAGGTGAGAAAAGGACAGGAGACCTTCAACAAATGGCTCCTGACCGGGGCGACGGTGGCCGGAGTGCTTCTGCTGGGATCCCTGCTGAGCCGCAAGTGAGCCGCCGCCGAGCCCCCGTGGCCAGGACGGCTGCGCCTTCACCGCCACATCCACTACACTCCGCTCCCGAGCACCGGCACCGGGCCAGCCCCTCCATCCCGGCCGAGCACCTGCTCCAGGGAGTTTTCTCCCTCGTGCCGCCAGCTCCTTTTATTGTAGCCTGTCTTATTTACTGTTCCGTTGTGTTTTAAAGGCGCTGAGGCCAATGCAGCACTTCAGCCACCAGCTCCCAGCGCTGGGGAGATCCAGGCAGCTGGGGGGGGGCACAGGCTAGAAGGTGTCCCAGCCCTGCAGGGTTCTCCAAATAATTTGGAAGAGAATAAACAGACTTATTTTTGCATGTGTGAGTGCGTGCGTGTGTGTAGATGTGTCACTAATATAAAGTTCCCCAGCCAGAGCAAGGGTCAGGCTCCGTGCCCCCATCTCTGGCACGCTCAAGCACCAGGAAGAGGCAGGCTACCCAGCAGGATGGAGCTTCCCTGCAGCATCCCTATCCTGTCCTTGCTTCTCCAGTCAGAGCTCATCCCTGTGGCAGGGGGAGCAAGAGGAGGAGGCAGAGGCCGGAGGTGGGGGGCTCTGCCCTTGGTCAGAATTCCTTTCTCCCCACATACTCAGTTGCTGGGAGCTGTGGCCTGTCCCAGATGAGGACGGTGTGCCAGGCCCAGGGCTGTGCATGGTTTGAGGGGTTCTTTGTCCTCTTCCTCCTCCTCACTCCAAATGTAGATGGCTGTGGGACAGTGCTCATCCCTTCCCAGCCTGTTCCTCTGGGCTGGTAAAGGAAGGAGACAGGAGAGGGGGAAATTGCTTGTCCCTGGCACAAAGGGCTTTGCAGAGAGCTGGGGCTGTGGTGTCCAGGAATCCAGAGCTGGGGATTGGAAGGGTCAGGGGAAGCACCTTCACAGGGGTGGCAAAGCCCAGGGAGCAGCTGATTCATGAGATTAGCAGGGAAGCAAGCCCAGGGGAGATGGAAGTGAGGGCTGACACTGGCTGAAAGCCATCTCCACCTCTGGGGAGCCTCTTTGGGGACAATAGGAGCTGTTGGCCTCTCCACTGCTGTTCCCCATGTTCCCAGTCCCGTAGTGCAGGCAGATCCCTGTGCCCAAGCGTGGCTGTGATGGCTGCATGCAGTGACTGAGGTGTCTGGCTTCCCTCCCCCTCATTCCCACGCTGCTCCTTCTGCTGCTGGAGCAGGGAACCTCTGGCCTTCGAGCTGAAATTAGCTTCCAGAATAGACGCCCTCATCCTTCGGAGCCCACCGCGGGCAGACACAGCTGGCTCAGCTTGTCCGTGTACATACTGCCCGCGCTCTGCTGTACATATACGAGTAGTTTTTAATTCATTTGTGAATACTATTAATGCTATTTTTGTTATCTTGTCTGTCCGTATTTATGTGTGGGACCGTGCTCCCTGCAGAGGCCAAGCTGGGATGGAGGTGAGGGGAGAACCGGAGGTTCCAGGGGAGCTCACTTGGCCACTGAGCACGGACTCGCGCTCCTCATGTCGGAGCCACTCAGGTCCCGCATGGGGAGCACGAGGATTAGCATTAGCCCATTGAACGCTTCGGTTTGCAGGTGGAGGTGAATCCACAAATAAATTTGTCATTCGAGCTGCTGCTGGTGCTGTGGTCTTTGCAATCGTTGGGAATTTGGGAGACTTTGGGCCCAAAGGAGTTGGCTTCAGTGGGAGGGAGGGATGGATGGATGGATGGATGGATGGATGGATGGATGGGAATGAGGTCCTCTCCTTGCCCAGGGAAGGGTTGGGGTGATCCAAGGGCAGTTTGCTGTGGTCCAGAGGGATGGTGGTGGGGTGGGGTGGCTCTAAGGGGTGATGGGGACAGGAGAGCCCAGGGCAGGCTCAGCTGGGCTGAGAGTGCTGGTTTTGGGGACATGGGCTCAGCACCCGTTGTCACGTTGGGAGGAGGAGGGCAGGGGACTCAACCTCGCTGGGACCCACAGCCCCCCGCATTCCCAGGCCTACCCTTCAAAGGAGCACCTTCCCTTTGTGCGGGGCTCATTCCGGCGCGGTTTGGACCACACAAACACTCCGCCTTTTCTGGGATGTCACAAGCATGGGGGACGCCGAGCCACCCACCCCACATCCCTCTCACGGCAGGACGCGCCCAGCTCAGCCTTCCCCAGCCCCCCTCCCCTGTCCTTTCCGGGGGACCCCCGGAGCGGGGCAGCGGCGGGGCCCGGGCGGGCTCCGTGGGCCGGCGGGACGCGGTGGGAGCCCGGACACGGACACGAGCACCATCCCGTGGGCAGCGGGAGGAGCTGCACAGGGACCACCATGACCACGAGAGCCGTGAGGATTGCAGGGAACCCCAGAGTCCCCGAGGGCCACCAGCCCCGTCCCCAGCCGCCCGGAGCCCCCCAGAGGGGACGGACCCCACCACGGCACGGCCGGAGCCCCTCGCAGCAGAGGATACAGCCATGCCCCGTCGTGGAGTCGGGAATGGAACCCTGCCTGGAGATAGGGTGAGGGGGCTCCCCGAGACACCCCAGAGCACACCGGGCTGAGCTACGCTCCCCTTTAATCCCTGCCGAGGATGGGCTCGGTGGCTCCCGCGGTTGGGCGCTTTGGCAGCCACGGGGGCACGGTGGCAACGGGATGGTGATGGGGACAGGGCTGGCGGGTTCCCACGAGGCAGGTGCTCTCATGGCTCGTACTGCAGGTCCGTGGCGATGAGCACGAAGCCCTGGAGGGAGTCAGAGTGAGAGAGGGATATGGGGGACATGGGGGACCCTGGGGTAAGGGGACAGTGGTGGCACCGACCTGCTGCAGTGAGAGCCGGGGTCTGAGCAGGCTGAGGCCATGCGGGAGGGGCAGGGGGATGCCAGCCTGGAGCCACTCTGTGGGGAGACAAAGTCATAGCAGGGGATGGCCCTGGTGCAGCTGTGGGATGGGAACAGGACGGGGACAGCACTTACTGTTTGCCCGGGGAACCCCGAAAAGCCACAGCCCGAACTTCAGCAGGGTCTCCAGACGCTTCACCTGTGGGACAGGCAGGCTCTGAGCCCGGCTCAGCACAGGCAGAAGGGTCCATGCTGCAGGCAGGGCTCAGCCAGGCTTGCCATGCATGAGGTCCACAGCACCCCAGATTCCCCCCAAGGTGATGTGGAATCCGAGGCTCCCCTTGGATTCCCTGGCACAGCCACTCACCTCCACTGGGCCCACGTTTGATGCCACTTGAGTTATATGGAGCCTGTAGGACAAGATCAGGGTCAGAGCCAGGTACAGGGATGGGAACTGTCCCATCCCAGGGTAGGGACAGGCTGAGCTCCGTGGTGGGACCAGGACCCCAGCAGAGAGGGTCCAGCTGAGCTCCTGCCAGGGCAGCTGGCACAGGTATGAACTGGGGCAGGATGGGGTCTGAGCAGGCAATTCGGGACTCAGGGAGGCAAATGGACAGAGGTGGGGACTGGAGAAGCCCTCCAGGTATGTCCTGGGGGAGCTCAGACCCAGCTCAGGGTCGGCCACTAACCCTGTCAGTCTCACTGTGCCCCCGAGTCTGTTCCTGCTGATTGTCGGCTTCCCCGTCACGTTGGCATCCTGCAGCAGGAAGAGACACTGGAGAGACCAGGGCAGTGCCTGCAACCCAGCACCATCCAGCTGGCCCCAGTATCCCCCAGTGCCACCCAGCATGGCCCCAGTATCCCCCAGTGCCACCCAGCATGGCCCCAACCAGGAGCACAGGCACACCAGGCCCAGCCAGCTCCTTTGGGGTCCCCTGGCTCCCTGAGCCATGGCAGCAGCAGCCACTCACGATGTTCAGCAGGAAGGCAGGGACACGGGTGGCATTGGGCAGCACCACGAAGGCCTCGGCAGAGCTGAAGAGGGTCCCGTGCAGGGCATCAGGATGGCAGGAGAGCAGGGGCTGCTGGCGGGCCCAGAGGTGCAGCTCCATGGGCTGGTCTGGATAGCGCTCCTGAAGCTGGGAGGGACAGGGCAGGGGTGGCACAGAGCCATGCTGGCCATGCCCCCACCACTGCCCAGGTCCCGTGTGCCCACCACTGCCCTGCCCACGTCCTTGTCCTGGGGTGCTCCCTTCTCTCTGCATCCCATACTGCCTGCAACCCCTCCCATTTCCACTGCACCCCATTCCCTGTTCTGTCCCTCGTGCATCCCATTTGACCTCTGTGTCATCCCATGTTCCATCCCACCTGCAACCTTTTCCTCCTGCATTCCATCCCTCACATGTCCCATCCCTTTCCCATCCCTCCTGCATCCCATTACATCTTCTGTTCCTCCTGCAATCCCATCTTGTGTCCCATGCCCCATCCCACCTGCATCCTGTCCTACTCCATGTCCCACCTGTGTCCCTTTCTCCCTGTGTCCCATCCCACTCACCTGAGGGGAGAACACCTCCATGCTCTTGGTCCTCAGCTGGAGCGGGAACCGCCGGGGGAGCTGGAAGGCAGGGAGGGATCAGGGCGCTGGGGCTGAGCAGGGCTGGGCCTGGGGACACCCCAGTGGGGACAGCTCTGCTCTCCAGGCACCCCTACCATGTCACTGGAGATGTTCCTGCGCAGGGCCCCGGCCGTGAAGTAGGTGAAGGCGGCCGAGCTGGCGACGAACTCGGTGACAGCCAAGAGCAGCACGGGCTCGTGTGCCATGGGCGGTGTCGTGGGCAGGGGCATGGGCAAAGCCACAGGCAGTGCCATGGGTAGTGCCACAGGCAGCACCACAGGCAGTGCTGAGGGTCTCTGCTGGTACGTGCCCACCCTGAAGATCTCTCCCTGCACAGACACACAGATGGATGTGAGGATCAGCCAGGCTTCCCTGTTCCCACATCTGGCCCAGGGATTCCCAGGATGACATTACCTTGAGGGCAACGTCCCCATACTCCTCTGTGAAGGCTGGCGGTCCCAGCAGGGAGTGGTCGATGGCAGCAATGGTGTCCAGCTGGGTGGACACTGCAGGGACATGGAGGTGGACGGGAGGAGTCAGACCACCAGCCCCCTCCCACAGCCTGGCTCTGGCAGGACCCAGCCCCACAGTGGGGTCCTGCAGACCCTGCTGGGCACCAGTCCTGTCCACAGCCCCCCCGGACCACCCTGCCCGTCCCCAGTCCTGGGGTCCCCTCACCCACCTTTCATGTGCTTCAGGGCAGCGTCCAGCCTGTCAATGCCCCTGCGGAGCACGAGGCAGAGCTGGAAGCAGAGCAGGGTGTCAGCGAGCCCAGGGATGAGGGTCTCCAAGCCTCTCACTGAGTTGGGGGGGAACGGGGACACCGACACCTCAGGGCACAGGGGCCGAGCACCCACCTGCTTGTTCAGCTGCTGCCGCAGGGTTCTCTGGAGCAGAGGGGCCAGCAGGTTGTAGAGCCAGCTGCAGGGCAGAGTGGGGTGCTCAGACCACCTCATGGCACCCACCCAGCCTCCCCAGCCCACCTCCCTGGCTGGGGCACCAGTAGTCCTTGCATGCCAGGGACAGGACAGAGCAGGGGGCTTGGAATCACCTGTATCCACGGTGAAACTCCATGTGCAGGTGGGTGCCGTGGGTGTCACAGCCGGCGCTCCAAACCGTGGGGTGGCCGCTGCCATCCTCGCTCACCCCCAGCACCGCGGCCACGGCCACGTCCTGCATGCGGAGCTCCACGGAGCCGCTGTCCTGGCTGGGGACACAGCGGGTGAGCACAGGGACAGCGGGGACATAGGGCCACCCTGAGTCCTGTCCCTGTCCCCACGAGGACTCACACGGCGCCCAGCTGGGCCGCCCAGTCGGCGCTGAGCTGGACTCGGGCGCGCTGCACCGTCAGCCTCACCCCCACGTCCTCAGCAAAGTCCAGCGTGGATTCATTCATCTGCAGTTCGTGGATGTGGATCCTGCACAACACAATCAAGTGTGCTTATGGCTGTGGTGCAGACAGGGATGGGGACAGGGACATGGACAGGGACCCCACAGGTGGCTCCTACCGTGGCACAGCGTAGGTGAGAGTTCCCAGGAGCGGGGTGTTGTAGGAACCCGTCAGGTTCAGCTCGTGCTCCTTCTGCAGCATCGACTGGAGCAGCTCCAGCCCAAAGCGCCGGCCTGGGGCAAAGTGGGAATTTGGGGTGACACCAAGGAAGGGGCTGGGGTACCTGGGGTGTCAGCAGAGTGAGCAGCCAGGACCAGGATGGTGCTTCCATCCTCCATTCCCGGCAGACTTGCCATCGTTCCTGGGGGAACCCCCTGGTTCCCCTCATTCGCCCTCCTTAGCAGTCTGGGCATCATCCCCCACGGGTCCCCCCCACCCCTGCCTGCTCAGGAGCACAGACTCACCAAACTCCAGTGTCCTCTGGGTCAGCCAGACCTTGATGCCAGGATTGGTGGTGGTGGCAGAGACACAGATGGGCAGCAGGAGCAAGAGGCAGAGCCATACAGTGCCTCGGGGCTGGTGCTGGGACCTGGGGGCTGGAGCAGAGGACATGTCTAGGGACAGACAGCAGGTGTAGAGACCCCCTCCCTGTGCACCAGCACAGCCAGGACTTATATCGGGACACAGAGCCCCGGGTGACATCAGCACACATGGGGACACCACAGTGCTCCGGCCACCGAAAGCCCAGCCTTGCCCAACGCGTGACTCAAAGGGGAAACCCCATCGTGGGAGCAGGGCAATGCAGGGTCCCACACCAGCCCTGCCAGCCCCCACCCTGGGGGTGCACACAGCCAGGGACACCAGCTGGGGCTCCCCACAGGGACACAGGACATGGGGGGACACACAGAGACCCGGCTGGCCAAGGCCACAGAGAGCTTCAGCTGTGCTCTGCCTGGGGGCGATGAGGAGTGGGGACAGGGACACAGCGAGCAGGTCCTGGGGCGGGGGCCTGCACCAGGGCAAACAGGGCTCAACCCATTTGCACCGGGGGGCAGCGGCTGTTCCCACTTTGGGAAGGGCCCTGGGAACCCTGTGTACATTTCAGTGAGGATCAGGGCGTTCGGGCTGGGGAAGCAACCCCCAAGGAAGTGATGGAAAAGCTGGGACAGTCAGAGCAAGAGCAGAACTGTGCAATCCCTTCTGAAAAACCCAGCTGAGGGGAAGGAGCCACCATCAGCAGGATCGTCCCCCAGCCAGGGTGAGCCCCTCCAGTGCCGTGGGCTATGGATGACAGGGGTCCAGCTGCCCTCCTGGATCCAGCCTGGCAGACCCAGAGGTACCTCTAGGAGGGCCAGGGCCTCATCTCAGCACCACAGGGGCACACAGAGCCCACGGGCAGCCTCACCACAGGGACACAGCCCACATAATGCACCTTATGGAGGCCTTGAAAGCAGCTGCCCACTGGCCTGGGATGCCCAGTGCCACCAGCCATGGCTGCAGGGGTGGCCAGTGTCCCCAGCAGTGCCCCAGAGGCCAGAGCTGACCCTGACCCCCAGCCCAATGCCCAGCACAACCCCTCTGTCCCAGGGTGCCCCTGCCCTGCACCAGCACTCACCGTGCCGGGTGGGTGCAGTGCCCCACACCGCGGGGGCCGCAGGTCCTGCCATGGTCCCAGCTCCTCCGTGTCCCTGTCCCGGGGACTGTACGTGGCAGTGAACAGCAGGGACCAGCTCTGACGCCAGTGTCCATCCCGGGTCCTGGTCATACCACAGCGTCACCCATTTCCCCCGTCCCTAATCCCTTCCGGGATGAATCAGGTCCCAGGAAAACATCGAGGGACCGGTTGGGGCGCAGGTGCCCGCGGGCTGGGCGCTGCCTCGGGCTCTCCGGTGTATCCTGGAGCTGCCGCATCCGGCATCCCGACACGTGCGGGCGGCCGAGCCCCGCCAGCCCCGCTGCAAGCCCGGGCTGGCCCCGCAGCCCCTTGCCAGCCCTCCTGTGCCAGGTACCCGGTGGTGCCACCCCGCGTCCCCTGGGGAGGGGGTGAGGCCAGGGCTGCATCGCGAGGGCTCGGTCGTGGGGCACACAGGGCTTGGACAGGGGTCAGGCAGGGACGTGGGGACACACACTGACACACACGGAGCCCTGTCCCCCTGCTCCAGGGGAGTGAACAGGTAAGGACGGCACCGGGGAACGCGGCACGGGAAGAGCCCCAGCGCCTCCCGCGCTGGCCCCGGCCCGAGCAGAGCCCCCAGTCCCGGTTCTCCCTGTCCCGGGATCTTCCAGGCTACTCCAGGAGGGCGGCCCGAGCCGTGCAGTGCGAGCGGGCACCGGGAGAGGGACCCACCGCCCCGTCCGCGCCGCGCTCGGGGCTGGGAGGGAGGCGGGCGGTGGAGGAGACACCGGTGGGGACCATGAAGGGACCTGGGGGGTGATGGAGGGGACACATCCGAGGGTGGACAAGGTCATCCACAGAGACCCAGAGGCCCCGGCCCCGCTCCGTGTCCCCTGCTGCTGTGTCACAACCAGGACAGGGGGGGACAGGCGAGGCAGTGTCCTGACAGCCCAAGTCACCTGTCCCCTGCCCAGGCCCTGCCGGGGGATCTGCTGGGCTGGGAAGCACGAGTGGGCGCATGGACACACGGCTGTGAGCACACAAACACACACAGAAGGTGTGCAGAGCCTCATACGTGCACACACTGCTGCTCAAGGCCTTCCAGCCCCAAATCCCCTGGCTGCAGGGCCCTGGGGAGGGGGGAGCGCCTAAAGGGTCCCACCAGAGCAGCAAGAGCCCCTCCAGGCACCCCAATTGTCCCCTGCCAGGCCACAGGGAGGTCTGAACAGATCTGGAACAGGAGGCTGAGAGATCTTTGGGGTGTTTGTGAGTCACAGGGAAGCTCAGGTAAGGGCAGCTGCCCGGGGCACCCCCAGCCCTCAGGGTTGCACAAGCCCTGATGCAATTTCCTTGTCCCGAGCGGTTGTCTGTCCCCACAGGCAGGGGTTGCAGCAGGAAGAGCAGGAACCACAGGGGCAGGGCCACGGAGAGAAGCAGCCAGGATTTGTATCTGCTCTCCCCTGCACAGGGATGAATCCCTGCATCATCACCCCTGCAATCCCCCAGCCCTGACACAGCAACAACCGTGGGAGCCTCGGAAAGGCTGCTGGGTGCAGGTGGTGCAGCTGGGCAGGGGAGTGAAGGGAATTCCAGGCTGTGAACACACACCACTGTCCAGGGGCATGGGGAAACCACACTCCCATCCGGGCACAGAAGCCCACAGCTGGCTCACAGCACTGTCCCCTCTGTGTCACCATCCCACCAAGGTGCCTAATCACGGGAAGATGCATCCCAGTGCTGCTGCATTATCCCACCACGGAAGACACAGTGTGAACAATCTTTCCTCCTGGGTCTGACCCTCAACACCCCACGTCTGAGCCCAGGGAGTGAAAACCCTTGGAAACCACTGGGAGAGGCTTGTGGGGGCAATGCTGGGACACAGGGAACTGGGACCAGCCCGTGAGAAATCCCTTCCTCAGCACCACCACAGGGTGCCAGACCCTGTATCCCCAACACATCCACCCAGCCCACAGCGGTCTGCACAAGTTGCTCCCCATTAAATGGGGCACAAATCCCAGAGCAAAATACACCCAAAACCCAGGGGAGGGGGTGTGAGGAGCGGGAAGAAAACGCACGTGTGGTCATCAGGGCTTGTTTAATAACAAAACTCCAGCTATTGTAGAACAATATTCTCCAGCATCATTGTAATATACAATACGGGGAATGCTCTCAGCAATCTGAGAAGGAAGGATCCGGCCCACAGCACCCCTGCCCAGGCTGCGGGGGCACCCCCAGGGCAGCCCCGCCGGGGAGCCAGGGATGCAGGTGAGCCGCGGTGCTCGGGGACGGGGTCCCGGGGACGATGTCCGTGGTGGGACCGGGATCCCGGGGATGATGTCCGTGGAAGGTCCAGAGCGGTCTCAGCGGCAGAGGATCCGATCGGCAGCGGGAATGCACGGAGCCTGCGGGAAAGGGACACGAAGCGGCCGGTCAGTACTTGCCAGAGGGTGCCGGAGACGGAAAGGGGGCAGGAGGAAGGGACACCCCCGGGAAGGAGAGGGCGCGGATCGGGGGAAGGAGATTGCAAGGTTCGAACACCGGTGCTGCCCGCCAGGAGCGCGGGTCCGAGCCGGTGCCGTGGGTCCGCACTCACCTCGGGGGAGTCCCCAGCGGCGGCGGGGCGGGGGGGCCCGCACTGCAGCTCCAGCTGCAGGTCCCAGATGTAGTCGATAACGTGCTGCAGCAGCTCCACCTTGGAGACCCGCCGGTGCCGCGGCAGCGTCGGCACCAGCGCCCGGAGCCGCGAGTAGCAGCCCTTCATATCGTACAGCAGCGCGGCGGCCGCCTGCTCCGCCGCCACCGGGGACACCCCCGGGCCTGGACCACAGCGGGCAGCCTCCCCGGGCCGCACGGCTTTCAGCGGGCCGCCGGCACCCGCGGGCAGCGGCGAAGAAGCGACAGCGGCGACCTTCATGGCGAGAGGCTACGAGCGCGGCGGGCGGGACGGGGCGCGGCGGGCGGACAAGGAGCCCGCGCCCCGCCGCGCCACTTATAGAGCACCGCCGATGGGTGGGCGGGGCCACGGGGGATCCTTGACCAATGGCAGTGCAGAAAAAGATGGAGCAACCCCGCCCACTCCATTCATGCGCCCCAAAGGGCAGCGTCTTAAAGGGGCAATGGCGGAGAGAGCGCCGTGACGGGCTGGGGCTGCGGGGCAGGGACGCCGGCGGTGCGGAGGCTACAGCGGTGCGGAGCGCCCGCCCTGCCCGCAGTTAACGCGGGTGCTTGCCCCGCGGGTTCCCGGTGTCGGGCTCCCCTCAGCCCCGCTCGCCCCTTGTCCCCTCCAGGCCCCCGGTGCCCCTCCGGGCGCTCGGGCCCCCCCGCACTCCCCGCGCCCCCCCGTCTCCGCGGCGGCTCAGACCGTGAGACGCCAGGGTCGTGACGTCACCCATTCATAAAACCCCGCGCGCTGTCAGCGCGGCGCCGGGCGGGCGGTGCCCATGGCGACGGGGGCGGGGCGGGGACACACACCTGCAGCCCCTACGGGGGGCACCGGGACCCCCACGGAGACAGCGCGACCCCCACCGGGACACCCCACGGAGACACTGGCATCCTCTCGTGGATACGGGGCCACCGGGAACCAGGAATCACAGGAACCCCCGGGAAACATCTGCACTCACACGGGGCGCCGGGGTCCCACGGTGGCACAGGACCAGGGGCATCCCCACAGGGGACAGCTCCGCGCCCCCCGCCCCAAGTTCAGAGTTCTCCGTTCCCCCCACCTCTCCCGGGGCCCAAACTCCCGCAGAGCTGCTCGGTGGCGGCGGCCGGGGCGGGGGGCGCCAGGTTCGGGTCCCCCCGAGGGACGGGCAGAGGGGTCGAGCGCTGGGTGCGTGGGGCGGCGCGGGGAGGGGGCTGCGAGCACGGTCCTGCCGCGGGGGGAAACCCGTGGAGGTCCCGCCACTGTGCGAGGCAGCCGGTCCTTGCCCCGAAGGGTTTCTGGTCCGGGCTGTAATTAGCGTTGCTGCTAATTACTCCGCACCTGCGGGGAGGGCAGGCAGCGCCCGGGGAGGGCCCCCGAGCGAGACCCCGGCACACCCCGAGCAGCACGAAATGCTGTGAGAAGGGAGGGAGGCAGGGAAAGCTGCAGCCCCGGACACTCCCGGGTGTGTGTACAGACACAGACACGCAGGGCGGGGTGCGTGTGCAAACACACAGGCGTGGACACAGACGTGCTTGCACATACAGTGTGTGTGGGACATACCCAAAAATGTGCACAGGAGCATTCACACGCACACACAAACCTGTGGAGACCAAACACAACCACAAGGACACACACACAACAGAGGCACACACGGATGGAGCACATACAGGTACACACACACACGTGTACATGCTCATGCACACACACCCTGCCTTGCACACCAACACGTGTGCACAAGTGCCAGCACAGCTCTCCCAGCCTTTTATGGGGTTGGGCTGGGGGGACAGACCCTGCCGCACATCCCCAGGCATTTAGGGAGCTGAAGGCCTCCCCTCTTCTTCCTCTTCTGGGGAGGGCAGCAATCCTGCAGAGCATGCATGAACTCCAACCTTGCCAGCCTGGCTGGGGGGAGCTGGATCCCCCTGTCCCTCCCTCTGTCCCTCCTCCCTGTGTCCCCCAGCCTGGTGCGGTGGCGGTTCCCAGGGTGGGCACGGCGCTGGGGTCGCCCCCTCCATTCAGGGCTCGGCGGAGGGCCCGGTGCTGCCCGGTTCCCACCGCGGCTCTCAAAGCTGCTAATTAGCCCCCATCTGGCGGCAGTGGCCGGGCCGCGGCGGGAGGCCGGGGACATTGTGCACAGGAATGTCTTTCAGGGCCGCCGGCCGGCCGCCGCCACCGCCAGCTGCGCCGCCAACAATGCCAGGACAAGCCGGACCCCGCGCCCTGCCAGCCCTGCCACCGGCCACCCCGAGCGCGTGGGGACGTGGACGGATGTCGTGGATGGATGTCGTGTCCGTGGTGCGTGCCATGGCACACACGGCACGGCCGCCCTGGCACAGCCGCTCCAGCTGCCCCAGCCCACCGGATGCCCCCGAGAGCAGGACACCCTCACCCCATCCCTCTGCATGCTGGGGTGCCGGGGATGGGGTGCTGGGGTCAGGGCTGCCAGCGTGGCACGGGGACACCGCCTTGGCCACAGCTGGCCGCGGGGTCCTGGCCTGGCACGGCGAGCCGGCGGCGCAGCGGTGTTGTCCGGCAGAACACAGAGCTTCATTTCCATCTCAATTCTGGGAACGGGGCTCACGGCGCGGTAACAGCAGCCTCGGCCATATGGTGCTGGCGGGGCTCAGCCCGGCCGGGGGGGCAGCCGGGGGGCGGCTGCTTTGCGCGGAGCAGGGGTTGCCCGGCAGCCGAGCACATCAAAGCCCCCGCCCCGCCGGGACCACACAGGGCACGGCCGCACCAGGCCGTCGAGAGGCAGAGGGGCTGCCTGTGATGGGGGAATGGGGTACAGCCGGCACCCCAGGAGCGGCAGCACCCAGCTCTGCACTCTGGCATGCAGGGCTGGAAGGCAGCACGGACACCACAGGTCAGGCTGGGCCCCCACCAGTGAGCAGGACCCCCAAACTGGCTGGGGTTGGGCTCCATCCAGATCCCCTCTCCCGGTGCCATCCGCAGGTCACCCCTGAGGCCATACAGAGCTTCCACCCCCCTGTGTCCGCACGACACTGCTGAGCCAGGCTTGCAGATGTGCCGGGGCCGCCGGCACAGCTGGAGCGGGGCCGAGGCCTGAGAAAGCCCCTGCGCATTCCCCTCCCGCCTTCTCCCTTCCCGTTCCCAGCTTCCATCCGCTGCAGCCCAGACCAGCTGGAGCCAGGCAGCCCTTCCTGGGATTTATTCCAGCTTCCTGCCCCTCCTCGCCGGCCGACCGGGGCTGGGGCTGCCTTGGGCTGCTTCCTCTCCCTGCTCGCAGCCGCCGGCCGGGCGCCACTGTCAGTACCCATCATCACACGGGACCCCAGCTCCCACCACCAGCACCCAGCACTCCATGGGACCCCAGTGCTCATCACCAGCACCCACCATCACAGCAAAGCACCCCCCACCCTGTGTGGTAGAGCATGAGGTACGGCTGCAGCACCCATCACCCATCATCACCCAGCTGCAACCCTGCTGTGCTGAAGAGGCTCCACAGGGTCCTAAAGATGAGCAGCCCTGGTGTTTCCCCCCCTCACACCAGCACTCCTCAAACATGAAACCACCCTCCTCTTGCCTGGTGTTTGCACCCTGTGCGCCACCAGCTCAGCCCATCCCACACCACCGCAATTCCCGGTGGGAGCTTGGCACAAAGGGCGTGTGCCCTTGAGCTCCCCTGGTCAACAGACATCTACACCACTGCCATGAGATGCCATGGGTGAGTGGGTGGGTGAGGATCATCCCAAACCCCACATCTGCTGGCAGCAGAACAGGCAGCTTTGGCCCCTGCCCTCGCTGGGCGCAGTTAAGTGGACAGAGGTTTCCTGCCGGAGTCGGCACATCCATGTTTCCGCAGCCCCCACCGAGCCGGAGGGACCCTGCGGAGAGGGGAAAGTGGCCCAGCAGCGGCCCAGACACAGCGGAGCCGTGTGGCCTCAGCCCCGCCGGGACCGGAGGTGCCACAGGCCCAGGTGCAGCAGGCGAGCGAGCCGAGGAGCGCTGCAGCGCCGGCTCCACTGGCGGCTCCTCGCAGGACCCAGCACACTTCCTTCCTCCTGGCCGGCCCCGGCTTATCGGCCAGGCAGGGTGAGGGGTGACCCTGCTCTCCCCTTCCCAGGCCTTCCGCTCCCTGCGGCCCTGGGAAAGCTCCCGGCCACGCTTCCACCACACCTACAGCCGGCAGGAGCTGCTCGGAGCCCTGCAGGGCAGCAGGGAGGCAGGAGGGTGATGCTGGCATGGGGGTACCCCCTGTGCAGCCCCCAGCTTGCTCCTGCACTCCTGGGCCTCTGGAGGCTGTATGGGGATGCAGCTCCTACCACCCGAAGCTAGGGAGGATACAGAGCTTCCCAGGATGCGGTGCCAGCCCCGCAGCAAGGGATACACCAGGCTGGGGAGTGGGGTCCTGACTCAGGGTAGGGTCCTGCACCCCACGGCAGAGCTGAAGTCCTTCTCCACGGAACACTGGAGGCTGGTGAAATCACATCTGGAGTCTAGACTCAGTGACTCGGTGGGCTGGGCCTGGCGGCCGCGCTGTACCCAGACCCTGCTGCACACTGTTTGCTTAGCTGGAGGTATTTAATTGGAATTAAAGTGGCCCCTCTTGTTTTTGCGGACAGGGCTGTTGGAAAAGGAGCTGTAAGTCATAGAAAACATCTGTAGGAGCCTGCGAAGGGTCATTAGATGGCAGAACACGAGGCGCCACTTTTAGTGCTCGCAGCCGGCGCAGGGAATAATGGTTCAATACGGCTTTTGTGGAGGAGCTGCCAAGCCAGCAAACACTTTCTATTTATTCTGGCAGTGGGCATGGCCGAAGGGATGCAGGATCCTCCACATGTGGGCCTCCAGGAGGGGTAGGGAGGACACTGCCAGTGCTGCAGGACACAGGGCAGCTGGTCCCAGTGGAAGCTGCGGTGGCTGTGGAAGCTGGAGCTGTGGAAGCTGGAGCTGCCCCTGCCTGCAGCCCCTCCAGTCCCCATGCCTGCACCAGCATTCTCTGCCCATCCCAGCCCTAAAGGGTGCAGGATTGTGCCCGGCTCCCTGCAAGGAAGGGGGACAATCCATACTGTCCTCACCCTGCTTCAGGGCTGGGTTTGAGGTTACCCACTCCTAGCCCTCCCACTCCTGCTTCCCTAGGCCATGGGGCGTTAGCCTCAGCTCACTGAGCACCCCAGCAGCTGAGGCAGAGCATATTCCCATCCTGTGGGGTTCCTGTCCTGCATCCCAATCCCTGATCAGCCACCCTTCTCTAGGGCAAGATCCCAGCTCAAACCCACACAGGGTAGCTCACTGAGCACCCCAGCAGCTGAGGCAGAGCACATTCCCATCCTGTGGGGTTCCTGCATCCCAATCCCTGATCAGTCACCCTTCTCTAGGGCAAGATCCCTGCTCAAACCCACACAGGGCTCAGTGACTCCAGCCCTAAATCTGGGTACTACAGAGCAGGGGCCAGGCTGGGGGAAGGCTCAGTGCCAGAGAAGTGGGAGGGGGAAGGGGACGGTCACTTGGTCACTTGGAAACAGCCAGACAATAGCCACCAGCTCCAGTGGGAGAAGGCGGGTGAGCTGATGCCAATCCCAGTTCTGGCTGGGCGGCTGAGCAGGGGCATGGCCACACCAGCACTCCTTCCTTCAATATGGTTTAATATGAGAGAAAGCAAATGCACAATACAAAATTTAAAAACCGGCATACATCGATACCCCACCTGGGTGGCTGCTCCGACACACACAACATGATGCTCTTGCACAATTGTTTCGTCATCTGTCACTTGCAAAGGGTCTTGAAGGGCCCCAGCCCAGCAGCGCCGGGCACAGCCCACGGGCAAGGTCACTTCTCCTTCTTGGAGGCTTCTGTTGGCTCTTCTTTGGAAGCCCCTGCTGCCTCCTTGGGGGTTGAGCTCTCCTCGTAGCTGGGGACAAGAAGGACATGAGTGGGGCCAGCTTCTCCCTGGGGACAGAGCCCTGTGCCACGTGGGGACAGCCCAGCCTGTGGCCTTGCCTTCTGCCCTGCTGCTGCTGAGGACAAGGTGGGCTCCAGCACAGCAAGCCCCATGGGGCAGAGCCCAGGCAGGGAGATGAGGGATGCCCAGATATCTCCAAGGGTAGGGTGGACCCAGCCAGGGGTCAGCTCTGTGCCTGGGGATCTGTCCTCGTTCCCAAGAGCACTATTGGATATCCTGGATAGCACATGCTTTCCTTGGCTGAGCACTGGTGCCAGTGGGGCCGGTTAACAGGGGAACTGCAGCAAGACCAACAGCAGTGTTCCCTCCCAGGGTCTCACTCCTCTGGCTGCAAACCCCCTCCAGCAGTGGCCCCAGGGCTCTGGCTAAGGAAATGGGAATGCTGCTCCAAGCAGAAAGGACAAGGTTGTCAAATCTTCTTGCCCTTCCCAGTCTTCTCTCTCAGAATGGGAGAGAAGCCGGCCCACAGGAGCACAGCAACAGCTGCAGCCTCTGCCCACAGAGTGAGGAGAGCTGGGAACAGGAAGAGCTTGGGCCAGGGAGAGCCAGGACCTGCCCCTACCTGGCCAGAGCGACAGACAAGGGCCCCCGGTGGCAGTGGCTACATGGCACTAGGGCTCTGCTGCCGGCGTCGGCGGGGACAGGACAGTTTCTGCTGCATGGAATCAGCCAGGCTGGCCGGCGAGCCAGACACCGTGGGGAAGTGGGTAAGTCTTGGTGTGTGAGGCAAGATTTCAGCAGAGGATTCATAGCTGCAGGAGAGAGAGGAAGCAGGAAGGGAAAGAAAAGGACAGAAAGGAGGGGGGGAGAAAGAGAAAAAGCAGAAGAGTTTTGGAGTGAGAGCACCGAGAACGCAGCGCCCTGTGCAGGAAGCCTAGCATCCCCCTTCACCTGCTTGCACCCGCTGGCCTCTCCTTGCCTGCAGACTCCAGGACAGGGCTGCAGCATGGAAAAGTGAGCACTGAAACTCAGGGATGAGGCAGCTCCCACTGGCATTAGCAGAGCCAGGCAGCCAGAACCCAGGGAGAGCAAGCCTGGGCAGTGGGGGGGTGGCAGTGGAGCAGCCCAGGGGCTGGGCAGGTGACAGAGGGACACAGCAGACCCTGGCCTGCCACTTGAGGACAGCGTGCCCACAGCAGATGTGGGGAGCAGGATGGGTTCCCATTGCTGAGGGAGCTTTCTGCCTAGCCTAGGGAGGTCTGGCAAGGCTGAGTGCCACGGGGCTGATTCCAATGTCACCGACCTCTGCTCCACCAGCACCCCTTCCCTGGGCCTGCAGCACAGATCTGCTCACTCCCACCCTGCCTGCAGACCCTCACTGCTGTGAGACACCATGTGCAGGCAGAGACCACAGGAACTGACAGCTCCAGGGAGGATCAGGGTACACCAAAGCACCACAGCAGAGCGACCTACACCTGGTGGGATTCCTGCGGTGGGAGCCACTGCCCTCCAGGCATTGGTCCCTCCGAATCCCACTTCCTCTGCCTGCAACTTCAAGGGAGGTCTGGCCCCCTGGGGCCATCAAGTTTGCAACCCTCCAGCATCCTGCTCTTGCCCTGGCAACATTTTGCTGCTTGTGCTACTGCCCTGGGAGGACACCAGCCCCTGGCTGCCAGGCTGCCTGTGCTCCTTGCTGCCCAGTGGGCCCAGCCTCACAGCTCATCTCTCCCCAGTTTCCTGGCAGGAGCTGCTGCTGCTGTCAGCTGGTGAGTCACAGCACTGGGGAAAGCGGCTGCAGGATCCCAGGTGCACAGGAAGGACGATCCCAGGACACTCAGTGCCTGCAGCAGCGATTGTCAGAAGCAAACATCAAAGGAGGGGCAGGTGCGGCAGGGCTGGGGATGGCCCAGCTGAGAGCCGCTGGGAACATGCATACCTGCATCTCCCAGGGGAGGGGAGGGAGGAGGGAGGACAGCTGGCTTCCCGTTGCGCCCGGTTTCCCTCTGAGGAGGCTGGGAGCTCAGGAACACTCTCCGGGCTGGGGCACTGGGGAGGCTGGAGGGTACACTGCCCTGCTTTAAGATGTTCCCTTCCCTTCCCTCCTCTGCGTCAAACCTCATTACTGCGCTGAGCCACCAGCAGGTCTCGAGCATGACAGAGAAACAGCTCTCAAGCAGGAGGCCAGAGCTGCCCACTGACAGCCTGGACAGGCTCAGAGAACAGCTGAGCACAACAGCCCAGTCCCCCTTCCTCTGTACACAGAATCTCTGGGGCAGGGAGACTACTACAAACCAGGAGACTCTGCCCAAGTGGGGAGGTTGGGATGTGCTCGAGCCAGCCTTGGCTGCTCTCACAGCCGGCTCTGGCTCCATTTCTCCCCACCCACAGGCCCTGGGACACAATGACCAAGTACCTCCACACCAGGTGTGCAGTCCCACCCTCCCCTGCCTGCCAGAGCATGGGAAGAGTCTGTCACTGGGGCGTAAAGCAATACCAGGTGCTGCCTGCTGGTACCACAGCACGGCTCCCACCCAGCTCCCGGGAGGCGGAGGGAGCCAGGCCCGGCATGTACAGACACAGCCCCGCTCCCTCCACCCACGCACGTGCCGGCGCACACCCAGAGCATGCCCACATGAACCCGTCCCTCCAGCTGTGCCCAGGCGTGGGAACATCTGCACGCTTCGTGTGCTCCAGCGCCGCCGGCAAAACAGCTCCACGGCCAGCTGAGGCTCACCTGAACATTTCGGTTACTTCTCCCTTTGCCAAGGCCACCAGAAGCGGGAATCCAATGCAGGCAGGGACCAGGTACAGCAGCGCAGGCTGTGGGGAAGGAAAACAACTGTTAAACCAAACCACAAATCACCCCGAGGGAAGAGTGCAAGGTGAGCTCATGGCCTTGTCCCCTCTGCACCCATGGTATCTGTCACATGGCTACACAGGAGTAAATACCCCAAAGAGCAGCTTCAAGCTAAGTTAGAGCTGCACCAGCATGAAGCTAGATTGGGTATTAGGAGGAAATTCCTTCCTGTGAGGGTGGTGAGATCCTGGCACAAGCTGCCCAGAGAAGCTGTGGATGTTCAATCCCTGGAAGTGTTCAAGGCCAGGTTGGAACAGGGCGTGGAGCAGACTGGTCTAGTGGTTGGGGTCTCTGCCCATGGCAGGGGAGTTGAAACAAGATGGTCTCTGAGGTCCCTTCCCAAACCGTTCTGGGATTCTGTGAAAATCCTCGCTGTGAGGCCCCAGTAGGCCATGAACACACTGAGAGCCCCTGTGCAGGCCACAGTGTATGGGCTCCCAGAGCCCCCTGCAGCACAGCCAGTGGGTGCTCAGGGCAGCTTGGTTAAAGAGCCAAAAAACACAGGGCCCCTGGCTGAGGGGCTGCTGGTGGAAACACGGAGCCTTGCCCCAAGCTGGCCTCTGCTCCAGCTGGGCACAGGAGCTTTGGGAAGGGAAAGGTACAGACAAGCACTGGAAAATCAAAGCCAGGAGAAGAAATAAATCTACTTTTTCCTGGCAGGATGCAGGAACTTCATGGCCAAGCTGGCCTGACCCACTTGGATGTGCATCCACAGGAGGCAGCAGGGTGGAGCTCACCTGGGCATGCTTGAAGATGTGCATGATGAATATGGTGAGGCCCAGCCCAAAGATGTAGGCCACAAAGCTGGTGTAGAAATACGTGTGCGTGTTCTTCTTCAGGCTGTAGGGAAAGGGAAGAGCTCAATGACCTCTGGTCTGGAATGCCAGTGGCCAAAATGGAATTGGCCTGGTTTTCCTGGGCATCTCCCACCACAATGGAGTGTGCAGAGCGATGCTCTGCCTGTGCAGCCCCTGGTGTTGTGGGAGCAGTGTGGGACTGAAGGCAGTATTACCCAGGTGAGGGGCTGAAGAAGGGAAGAAGGCAAGTGATGCTGCTGCTGCTGGATGGCAACTGGGAAGGCAGGAATTAGGGCTAGGACCCAGGGAGAAGGTCCCATTGTCTTGGTGGAGCCTGTCCCTGGCTCTCAGCAGTTACTATTTTATCACAGGCCAGGAACTGGGATTCCCAGCAGGTGCAGGCAGGATGTGGGTGGTAACACCTGGAAGAGCTGGCACAGACCACAGGGTCTGTGCAAGAGCAGTGGGAGCAGGGCCACACCACCACAGTCACAGAGCACCCTGTTCCCCAGAGCCTTTCAGTGTGGGGCAACTGCTGCAGCCCAGCTGTAGGTGCAGCTTCCCTGCGTGGGAAGGAGCTGCTTCCTCCAACATCAGTGGCAACCTGGAGGCAGCCAGCACTGCCAGGCACCCATTTGCATCCACGCGAGCACTTCCCAGGTGCCAGCACCCCTGGCTCTTTCCCACGCTGTCACTGCTTCCTCTCCTTGGACTGCCCTCCACTCCCTGGCTCCAGGGAGCTGGTGAAGCTCTGTGTGGCTGTTATGTGCTGCCTGCCCTACCTATGCTTGATCTCAAGCACTCGCCCCCAGTGCTCAGGAAGTACCCACAGAGCCAGCCCCCTCTTCCAAGAGCTTTTCCTTACACCCCCTAGTGTGTCTCTACAGCCAGCTCCAGAAGGGAGCACACCACTGCACTCCTGGCTCCCCCTTCCCTTTTTTCCTCTACAAAAGCAGCTCAAATATGCTGCAAGATCCAACCTGCCAGAGACCCTTCCCTGCCGCCTGCTCACCTGATATCAAACCGCAGCAGCAAGGCAATGAAGATCCCTGCAGGGAGAAGGAAACAATGAGGGGCTGGAAGTGGCAGAGGAGGGACAGCGAGGGGCCAGAGGAGCAGGGAAGGGACAGCGAGGGGCTGGAGGGGCAGGGCAGGCTCAAAGAGGCAGGGCAGGACCCGCGGTGCTCCGGCGCCGTGCTCGGGGTGACAGTGCCCTCTCGTGGCACGCGGCACCGGGACAGCACCGGGACCGGCGGGGAGGCTCCCAACCCACCGGGAGACCCGCGCGGGGCTGCGCCCGGCCAAGGGCAGAGCCAGGCACCTGCTCAGCTCCCCGCAGCCCCCTCAAAGGAGGCCCCAGTCCCGTCCTCCCTCCTCTGTCCTCACCCGGAATGACAATGTCTCCCAGTCCCAGCATGGCGAAGTTGTCGGCGTCCAGCCCCTTCTCCAGCAGGTCCTGAGGGAAAACCACTGCGAGGAGCAGAGCGAGGCACAGTGAGGGGGAGTGTCCCACTGAGCAGACCCCAGCCCCACAGAGCCTGGCAAACAGGGACCAGAGCAGGGCAAGAGACCTGTCCCTGCTCTCAGCCTCCTCCTTCCCTGTAGCTTTCCCTGTTCTTTCTGGGACAATTCCAGAACAAGAAACCAGGGACCAAACTACTGCATGCTCCACAGCAGCACCAGTTCAGCCCTCCTGTTGTTTTGGGGCTCTGTAGTTTTTGGGTTTTTTTGGGTTTTTTTTTTGGTGGTGTTTATTTGATATGGACTGTTTTTATAAGCAGGTGAAATTGCACACTCCAAAGGTGCAGAATGACCCAGAGAGACCAGGGCACTGCAAACCATCCCTTTCCAGAGACCTGCCTTGGCTTGAGGCTGGCCAGTGACAGGGAGGAGGGAAATGTTCCTGCACACATCCCAGCCTGAACCATCTCCAGAGGTGGAGGATGCACGGAGCAGGGCTTGCAGCAAAAGGGACCCCAGCACACAGGGAAGATCTACTCACGTTTTATTGGGGCCTCAAACGATTTGGCAACTGTCACCATCACGTTGGTGCCAAAGACCTAGAACAGAAGGAGCCCAAGGTGACCACAGCTGCACTGGAACACACACAATGCTCAGCTACAGCCTCACCCAAGGGCCAGGAGTGGCCTCAGTGGCAGAAAACAGCCATTGGCCTGCCAAAATGTGGGCACAGGAGCCCTGCAAGCAAGCCCACTGCCCGGGGGAGGAGGCACAGGGTGGCACTGGGGCAGGTGGCTGCTTCACGGCTGTCCTGCTCTCAGAGCAGCATGGGGACAGCTCACATGGCAGAGCTGCTGCCCACCACCCAGCACTGCACCTCCTCAGTTCAGCTTTAATCAGTCAGCTCCATGTTACATCCAATTGGAGGGCAGGAGCTTCCAGCGGGGACAGGGGCAAGTGTCAGATCAGCTGCAGTTTGCTCTGAGGTCATTTACTTGCACGGCCCTATCAGCTGTAAATGCTGGCAGCATTTGGGGGGTGGACTGTAAACACTGAGGGCAGCCACTCTGATCTCTGCACCTTGCCATCTCTAAGCTTCCAGTCCAGCAGGCACAAAAAACAGGTGCTGGTTAGCACTGGTGAGCAAGATCCTGGAGCTTTGGATTAAAGGGGAATCTTAAAGCATCAGATTAACTCCTGGAAGATGCAGCAAGTTCTGAGCATTGCTATGGAGCGACAGGACTCGACATTGGGACAGGGAAAAGTATCACATGCCCTTCCAAAACTATGTAGGGGCAACAGTATCAACCCCCTGAGATCTCCTTCCTCCTTGAAACCCTCCTGGGATCTCACTGTGACTGAATCCACACCAAGATCCAAGTGACCAGTTCCTGCAGAGGGGCACAGTACCAGGGCCTCCACTTCAAGGCAGCCCTTCCCTAAGTCTCCAGCAATACTCTGATCCATGGGGAAGCCAAGGTGGGAGACAGACAGCAAGTGCAGAGCAGAGGGGTGCACTCAGTGTCCCCAAAGCACTGGAAGACACTCGCACACTAAGCAGGGCCTGGGGCACCAGGTGTGCTAAGGCAGAAGGCTGAGTCCCCTCCAGAGGAGAGCTGCAGAGGAAGTGGCCCACAGGCTAAAAAACCACAGAGCCCAGACTGTTAACGAGCCTGGGAAACAGGGGCACCACCGGCCAAGTACAAAACAACCCACAGTAGCCAGGCGTAAATATGGAGGGATTACACAGGCAGCTGCAGAGCTGCTGGACAGACCTCAATGTATACAAGGCTCTCAGACATTTGGAAACATGGTGATTCAGAAGGTGGAGGCAGCAGGAAGGACTGGAGAATACAGACATTACAAGGAGAAATATTCTTCCATGCATGGAGCAGAGCACACGACTGCATTCCTGCCTTCCCCGCCCCCCTTTCCTCTACAAAAGCAGCTCAAATATTGAAAGAAACAAGAAAAACCTCAAAATGAATAAGTTAGGGTGCAGCACCGGCTGAGGAAAAGGGACTGGAGGCATTCCAGGGTCTGGTGCTCTGTGCAAGAGAACAGAAGGACACTAACGAAACCAGCAGATGACAGAGCCAAGGCACAGCTCATACAAGCAGGCTCAGTGTGCCCCAGAGCAGCCTCCAGCCCACCCAACAGCTGTCAGGCCTTGGGAAGACCATAGTGGGGAATACAGGACCAGATATGACACACACTGAGTACCCCACAATAGCTCTGATGAGGTCCCTGCCAGCCCTGGGCTCTCTGAGTGAGAGAATAAAAGAAAACACACTTGATGAGCCACATTCTGCCACTGTGGATTCTGTCATCAACCCTGCCACACCCCTCTGGGCTGAGAAACCGAAAATTCTGACTTCAAGTGTGTGTCCAGCCAGTGTGGTGCCTCCAGAAAGGCAGAATGCCAGGCACACGCTTCCACCAATGGCCTGCAGAATGCTCCTGCTTACCCAGAACACATCATAGATGAAGAGGCCCCCAAGCAAGATGCAGCCAGTGCTGACGTTGTTCAGGTGCAGCAGCTCCACACCGTTGAGGGAGAATGCCAGCCCGAAGAGATTGTTGGCAATCCAGTGCTGAGAAGGACAGGAAAAGGAGATCTGGGTCCTGCTGTACATGGAACCCCCACCCTGCATGGAAATGAGTCCGTGTCTGATCCAGCCCAGTCCCCAGCTGTGCCTCACTTACCTTCCTCAGCAGGTACCAGACCCCCACAACACTGCTCAAGGCCAGGCACACAAGATCCTTGGTGTCAAACTCATAATTCACTATTTCTGCAAGAAAATAGAGAAGTCAGACTTGGGGCAGGCCGGGCAGCTCCCCTTCCCACACAGGGCTGATATGAGTGATTCCACAGCTGGGGAGCCCCAGAGCTCAGTGCCCATGTCCCAAATGAGGGGACTGTACCCGTGGTACACACGTGCAAACCACCTGGGAATGAGCAGTGGGCTCTGCAAAGCTCAGACCTTCTCCTTCAGCCAGACTCTGCACATGGACAGCATCCACGGTCCCGCTGTCAATAAGGAAATTGGATTCAGGCACTGCCTAAGGCAGGGAGAGACAAATCTTCTCCCTCTTCCTGTGCCAGTTAACTCCTGGTGGTATCACCAGAGATACTCCCTTACCAGGAAAGCTACTACAGGGCAGGATACTTATCAAAGCATCTTTCTGCAGTGCAAAGATCTGGCCCCGATAAGGCAGCACAAACCAGCCAGGCCTATGCTTTCCAAGGGGCTTAAATAAAGGCTGTGCATTTAACAACAGCCATAGCTCCATCCCCACAGCACTCTGGGAGGTGTTTCTGGGGTCTCCCTGCCAGAGGCAGCACAAAGGCAGAGTGCCAGCCCAGCTCTGCAGGGACACATGGGGCTCACAGTGGCTATGGAAGCTCAGCAGGGAGCAAGAGGCAAGTCTTTGAGAAGGTTGTTTCAATGGGAGAGTAATAACACCAAAAAAAGGGAAAAAAACGAACACTAAAGGCAGAAAACATTCAGGCTCCCCTGAAAGACAGGAAAGCCAACGTACCCTCCTTGCTCTCCCCGGAGCCCTGGGTGAAGAGGAGCTGGTACTGTTTGTTGGGGAAATTTGCAGGGAAGAATCCGTTCATCATGGGGCTGAAACGAGAGGTGTAGAGAAGGGCAGTTGGACAGAAACCCCACAGGATGTGCTGCCCAGCACCTCTGCGTTTGAGGGGGCCCCACACCCCCTCCCAAGAGCGGGAAATGCCATCTGCTCCATCAGGGACTGGCAGGAGCCACAGCAACTCATCCTGCACAGAAATCTGATCTGGCTGTACGTGACAGTCCCCCAGATACTCCAGGGCAAGAAAACAGAGCATCATCCACAAGAGAAGAGGACCCAACCCAGACCCCAGCAAATGCCCTATGCCCCCCAGCAACCCTGTGGGTACCCAGCAGTGGCTGGGCCACCACTGACTGGCTGTGCTGCAGAGCCAGGAGCAGAGCAAACCCGTGCCCAGCAGCAGTCAAGGGAAAGCATCTGGTCCCCAACGCCGCAGAGCTCACGAAACAGGAAACCAGTTCAACTTTTTCAGTTACTGAAACAGTCTGAGCTTTCAACACCTCGTGCCACGCATGGGCACGAGAGGAGGGACATTACCATGAGCTCCAGCTGCCTGTGTCACCCATCCCAGTAAGGGTGCTGCTGAGCTCTTCCCTCTGAAGGGCAGGAAGAACTGTGCCAAGAGGGGTATAAACTGGATATAAAGAAAAGGCTCTTCACCCAGAGGGTGGCTGGGCACTGTTACAGACTCCCCAGGGAAGTGGTCATGGCCCTGAGCCTGCCAGATTTCAAGAACTGTTTGGAAAACACTCTCAGGAACACAGTGGGATTTTTGGAGTTGTCCTGTGGAAGGTCAGAGTTTGGACTCAATTCTTGTGGTTCCCTTGCAACTCAAGATATTCTGATTCTGTGATTCTGAGCCAGAGAAGCTCCTTAGGGTGAGCTGGCCTTGTCCCAGTACTGGTGTATGGCTTCCCAGGACCCCCTGGGCTTTGGTTCCCACCACCAAGGGACAACTCCCTAAAAGGTTGGGCAAATACCCTAAAGACCTGGCTCTGCTGCAGGGCAGTGGTGCTCTAAAAATCTTCCAATAAAATGAACTGAAGCTTTAGGCCCTGCCCCAGTCACACCCATCCTTGTGCTGTACCTGATAGTGTGGGACAGGGCCAGGATCCCCAGCACAAAGAAATACATGGAAAGCAGAAGATTGATGTACTCTTGAGAGAATATCTGCAAGACAAAACCGCAGAGGGGTTAGAAACCACAGCATCCTCCCCATCCTCATGCTCCTGTTGGCAGCTGCTGTGTCAGTGCTCCAGGGAAATAAGAAGAATAGTTAGAATAACCCAAATTCCTGCATGCTGAGGGAGAATATGTTGGAAATAGCCATGTGCTCAAAGAACAAGCACAATGGGCCCGTGAGCTGTAGCACATCTGTGAGCTGCTCAGGTCAAAAAATAGCTCCAGTGCTGCAGAAAGGAGGCCAGAGCTTCCCCTGCAGAGCAGGGAGAGAGGCACCGCTCCCAGGGGCTGCCCAAGCCCAGGGGAGCAGCAGCATCCCATGCCCTAATTAAACAGGGCATTATTAAAACTCCTGCCCTCCAAGTCACAGGCTCCCCTACTGAATCACACCCCTGCAAACCAGTGTGGAAGGATCCTGGGGCCCTCTGTGCCCTCCTGGAAGGGGGATGCTGGACTAGGTGAGCACATGGCACACAGCCACTGACACAGAAGGGACTGAACTGTACCATTAACCTTCTGCACCTTAACCCTCACCTCCTGGTCAGCCAGGAGCACCTTGGCACCTTGCAGGGATCCCAAAACAGCACAGCTTGGAAGCTGCCATGCCCACAGGACCACTCTGTGCTGCAGCTCCCCAGACCCCTCTGAGTGCTCAGCCATGTGCCAGACCTGCATGGGCACCTCAAGGTGCTTGAGGCCAAGACATCTTCTCCACATCACCAAAAACACGAGCTGCTGAGAGCTCCCATCCATCTCTCAGGTCATCTGACTCTACCTGTGGGCTCTGAATGTCTAAAAATCTTCACCTGATCACACAGGGGCTCTCCCAGGCCCGCAGCTGAAATGGCTCCAGGAGCACAGCATGGAACACAACACAGAGCCAGCAGCATTTGCCCCTCAGAGACCCTGGCACCCTCTGGCTCCAGCCTGTGCCCTGTCAGGTTGGCCCACGGAGGCAGGAAGAGCTCAGGGCTATTTGCTCCTCGGCAGCTCTCCAGACACAACCTGTGCACAAACAGGCTCTGATTTCCCCCAAGCTGTGACAATTCAGGCAAGAACTGACGTCCTCCTGCACGGTGACACCAAAGCGTGCAGCCTTACACACCTTCTGTCCCAACACCAAGGGCCAAAACAGAGTCACCCCGTTATGGGAGCTCCTGCCAGGCAGGAGGATGTCCTGCCCCAGCTCCAGTGCCACTCACTTACTTTAAAGAAGAGGTAGAGCCCCAGGAGGGTGCAACTGGCAACAATGGGAAAGCGAGCAGCGTCTCGGCTGGTAATGGTCTCTGGCATCTCCGAGGAGTTCTGGGGACAGAAGGACACAACAGGAATGGATCAGCCCCTGCCCTGGCTTCACCCCTGAGCAGGGGCTGAACAGACACAACACACAGCACTCCAGAGCAATTCTGGGAGGGACAAAACTGACCCCTGCTATATCCAGAGGTGAGGCTGTGTCAGAGGCAGAGCCTGTGCTGGAAAACACAAACCTTGCACTTGTCCTTCCCAGGGCAGCCAAATTTTACTGCTTTTCTCCTCCTGGAGAAGGAAAAAATCCTGTGCTGGCACTGTTCCGTCCTCCCCTGCCCAGAGGGGAGCTGGGCTCCCTCACCGCTCACGCCCAGCCAGCCCCATCTGTGCCACCATCTGTGATCACCCCGCGCACGAGGCGTCTCTCCAGCCACCTTCTCATCCCTCACCTTGCTCTTGGGACGCTTCTCGTGCTCAGAAGCCCCAGATTTATAAACCCCTTCCAAGACATCTTTGCACCACCTCAACCAGCCTCTTTCAAGCCATTTCCCACAGGAGACCTTCAGCTTTCAGAGGAGGCAGAGGGCTGTTTTCTGCCTGTTTTCTGCCTGTTCCCTGCCCAGCTGGCTGCTGCTCAGAGATCTAATCTCACTCAGGCAAACACCTGCGGCCAGCACGGATCGAGGGCACCTCAAAAGCCCTCGTGCAGCTTATCCCAGGCATGGCAGTTGTCATGCTGTGCCCAGCAGTGCAAAGGTGCCCAAATTCCTGCTGCTCCCTGCAGAGTGAGGGATGAGAACCCCCACCCTGACCCACGGCTGGGCTTTGCTCACAGCCCCCCACTGCCTGGGCTGCCAGAAGCCCCCCAAGATCACCTGAAGCCCCTGATATGAGGTTTAAGGGCACACAAGGAGATTTTAAAAATAGTAATAGATCAGACTGTGTAAACCAGTCCTTCCTCCCGAACTGCAGCAGCCCAGCTGTTGGGATTTAAGTCCCTGCTATGAAATGCAGAGAACGGCGAGAGGAGTACCGGGACAGAACAGGGTGTGCAGGCAGGAGAGCACGCCCGGAGCAGCCCCAGTGCCGCGGGGCACAGCCACACACAGTCCCCCCAGCACAGCTCCTCTTGAGGAGGGACAAGGGACGCTTGTGTTTTGCAGCACTTGAATTTATCGGGGCGGTGGGGAGTGGCTGCAGAAGCCCCGGGGGAAGCCAACTCTCTCCCCGGGGCTCCCTGCGCCTCCAGGCCCAGGACCGGGGCCGGGGCCATGCAGCTGCCGGTCCTCCCGTGAACGGGGCGCCCGGAGGGGACCCTTGGGGAGGAGCGAGGCCTGAAGGCCGGGCTGCCCCGAGCCGCGGGGGTACCTTGCTCTTGGCGCAGCTGACGGAGCGCAGCGCCCCGAAGAAGATGGGCAGCAGCGCCATGAGGACGAGGCTGCCGTAGGCCAGCGCCATGCCCTCGGGGGTGGCGGGCGGGCGGGCGGGGGTCCCGGCCCCGGGCGCGGCGCCGGCGGCGCTGCCGTTGTGCGCCGCGGGCTCCTCCATGGCGGCTGCTCCCACCGCGGTCCGCACCGACACGTCCCCTTACCGGCCGGAAGTGCGTCACGCGTAGCGGCGCTGAAGCCGGCCCCGCCCCGGCGGCCCCGGTGCCAGGAGAAGGGCAGAGCCCCGCGCCGCCGCCCCGGCCCGCTCTGGGCCCGGCCCTCTCTGTGGGACGGGCAGGGCAACGCCCGAGGAGGGAAAGGCTCCCGGTTTCCTGCAGCCCCCCGGGAGCACGAGCTGGCAGCTCGGGTGTCCCGAGCGAGGTGGGTCCGGGGCTCCTGCGCTGCCCTGTGTTTTCCTGCCCTTCGCGTTTTCCAAGGATCTGCACCCCTGTTCTTGGGGATGCCCCTGAGCGCTCCCAGCCCGCCCCTGAGCAAACAGCCCTTCTGTGAAACGCCCTATAAATGGCAGCAAATTCTCCCCACGCGCTGGGCCGGGGCCAGGCTCTGCTGGAAAATTGGCCGAAATGTGTGTTTTCCTCACAAATGCTCCAAGCCGCTGGCAGCTCGGCTGTGCCACCAAGCCTTCTCCTCCTCCTCACCAGGATGACAGTCTGCTGAGGAGCAGAAATTGGTGAAGATTTGAGCGCAGTGAAATGGTGCTGCCCCCAGTTTAGATCTGAGCCACGGGCAGGAGACGGGAGCACAGCAGGGATTAAAACACAAGCCTTTAATTTTTTTTTTTAAATGTCTTTTAAATTTTATATTTTAAATAAAAGCAGTCTATTTCAGGCACGGGGTGATTCATAGCTCCGCGTTTCAGGCGGAGGGCAGATGGGAAGGCCTCCTGGGAGCCCCTCTCTGCGGGCTTGGCCTCCTGCCCGGGGTGCTGCCCTCTCCCTGCCACCGCTGTTCCCAGAGCGGAGCGGGATGGGCAGCACAGGGCAGTGCCCACACCCCTGCATCCCACCCTGGCACGGCCTGGCACGGCACTGCCCCTTTCTGAATCCCAGCCTGGCCTGGGAATCCTCTCAAAGGGCAGCGTCGCTGTGCAGAGCGGGATGGGGGAGTCGGGGGCTGCTGTCCCACGGTGGCCCTGATGGCCATGGGATGGGGGAGACTGTACTGGGGCTGGTGGCCACCCAGGGATGGATGGCATTGGGAGCAATGGCCACCCAGGGATAGCGCTGGAGACAGGGGCCACCCAGAGGCTGATGGCACTGGGATAGCCCCGAGAGCACTCGCTGGAGCAGCTGGTACCACCGAGACCTGGCACCACCTTCCCCAGGACGGGCCCAGATGGGGGCCACAGGCAGTCCCTGGGCCCCTGCCAGCACCTCCTCCTTCCATCCTCCCTCCTTCCACCCTCTCTCCGTTTCCCAGCGCCTCACCGTGGCCCCCCTTGGCCTCTCCTCCCACTCCTCCCATCCTCCAGCACGGCCGCATTTTTCTGGGTTTGAGCTCATTCTTTCCACTCCCCTCTCTGCTGGCTGCCAACTTTCCATCCCGTGGCCCCCTCCCCCGCCTGCTGCCACAGGGAAACACCAGCTGCAGCTGCGGGAGGGGCCGGCAGCAGCCAGGAGCCCCTGTCCCTCGGGTGCAGCCCCCAACCCCGGTGTGGCTGACGCTGTGTGAACCACAGCATCGCCTCCAGCAGGACCGGGAACCGCCGAGCTGGGAGCTCCAGAGCAGAGCAGCAGCAATGCCATGGGCTAAGCAGCACGGGGAAAAAATATAAGCACCCACCTCCCCATTTCTGAGGGCAAAACTTGGGATTTGCACCTCTGGAGAGACTAGTTTCCCACAGGGACAGGGTGCTGGCCCATCCCAGTGTCCCATTTTGCCAGCCACAGCCAGTGGTTCCCCACAGTCTGGCCACAGAGCGAGTGGAAACTCCCGACCCGAGGAGGAGGAGGGCACTGCTGATCCTCCCTGGCATCGGGCCCGGGATGCTGAGCAGGTTCCCCCATGGTATCCCAGCTGCTGGATGGCAGCACAGCCTAAAAACAACAGGCAAAGCCCACACAGCTCTGGCATGGTCTCCCTGCGTGCCCAGGGTCATTCCCTGCTTGCTGCAGCCAAGCACGTCCCTTCCTGGCTGTGCCATTCTGCTCGGCTCCAGCTTCCTGACCCTTCCTGGGGCACCAGGAGCCACCAAGCACCCAGCTCCCTGCCCAGGCTGCAGCTCCCACGGTGCTCAGGGGCTTTAAACCTGCAGCTCAGCAGAGCTCAGCCCTTCCCACAGACTTTTCCAGAGCTGGGAGATGCAGGGGGCTTCACAGGGGATGATGCTGGATCACTGGGTGAAGAACTGGGACCTCCACCAAGAGTGGCCAAAGGAAACCCTGGACAGAGGCTCTCCCTGTCCCAAGATGCTCCAGCTAACGGAGGAGCCAGCCAAGGCCTGCCCAGAGCAGGGAGCAGATCCTCAGCCCTGGCACAGGCAAAGGACAGAGCTTCAATCTGACCCCGTGGCTCTGGGATGTGGCTCCCCAGGGCAGGGACCCAGCAGAGAACAGCACCTCCCTGATGTGGTTTATTCTGCAGATCAAGGGTTTCCCCAACACACCAGTACAGAGAGAGCACAGAAACACTGGTGCCAGTGAGACATGGCACAAAGCCCTGGCACAGCAGGGTCAGGGTGCCAGGTGGTGCTGCTGGTGCTCCCCTGCCCCCTCTTCCCAGCCAGGCTCCAGGCTGTCCAAGGAGGACAATGCCACGGTGCCCTGGCCAGTCCCTGCTGCCATGCGAAGGACAGCACTGCGAGTGGGACCTGCCACACTGCTGATAGCCTCCAGCCCTGCTCTGGGGCACAGCCACCCCTCACCTCCAGCTCTGCAGGAGCAGCTGTGATCCAAAATCTCACCACTCCAAGTGCAGGTACCCATCCCGTCCTCCACTCCATGGACCTGATCCCACTTATCCCCTCTCCTGGCGGGGAGTGGCCGGATCCAGAGCACCTTCGCATCCCTCAGCACCAGTGAAAACAGCTCCACATCCTCAGCATCACTCCAGCCCCGTCTGAGCTCTTCACAGAGCCACTGGCCACACTGCTGGAGGAGAGCAGAGTCCCAGCTGGCGTGTGCGGAGGGACAGGACCGTGGCTCTCAGAGCACAGACAGGTCATGGCAGGACTTGGAGCGGACTTTGAGGGCCACTTTGCTGCTGTTCCTGGCCACCAGCCTGTCGAGGAAGTGCCGTGCTCTGCTGGCGAGGCTCTCCTTGTGCTTCTGGCCAGGCGGGGGGTGCAGGTGGGGCTTTTTGCCCCCTTGGCGCAGGCGGATCTGCCGCACCACCCCCTCAAAGAGCTCGGCCACGTTGTGCTGCAGAGCCGCCGACGTCTCAATGAACTTGCAGTCGAAGACAGCAGCGCACGCCTGGCCCTCTGCAAGGGAAGGGCAGGGAGAGGGCATGGCCCTGCTGGCACCTCAGGTGCTGTGGGACGGGCACTGCCACATGCACAACAGCAGCTGCACGTCCAGGGACAAGGGGACAGATGTGGGGGAAGCAGCTGGGCATGGAGCCCCCTCAGGGTTCTCCACCAGCCAGAACCTTCACCCCATACTCACCTTCCTCGGACACCTCACGGCACCGCACCAGGTCGGTTTTGTTCCCCACCAGGATGATGGGGATGTCCTCGGCCTGGCGCGCGCGGCGCAGCTGGATGCGCAGCTCTGAGGCGCTCTCGAAGCTGTCCCGGTCAGTGACAGAGTAAACGATGATGTAGGCATTCCCTATCTGCAGGCAGTGGCTACGGCACTGGCTCTCCTCACCCTGTCACCACGTGGAGAACAAGATGTCACCAATCTGTGGCCATGACCACTTCCAGGGGACAGCAGAGCACCCTGGCACTGATGGGACCTGTCAGCGCACCCCACCAGCCCCCACACTGTGGTGAACAGGTGTTACCCTGTTAATTAAATGCAGATTAAAAGCTCTTGGTTTTGCCGGGAGTGTTTGGGAGTTTTCTCTCTATCAACAACAAACTGAGGCCGTGGGCTCAGCTTGGTAGGGGGAGGTGAGGCTGAATCCCCTGGGAATGCCCTGGGACAGTGTGGTGGGTGCTGCACCCTGCATGATCCTGGCACTGCTGGGCAGTGTGGGAACAAGCCATAGTGGAAAAAAAATGGGCCACTGTCGGGATGTCACAGTGCTGGGGCACCTCTGGGAACTGCAGTTAAGTGCCAAACAGCTCAGTCCGTGTGGGTGCTGCACCCCTGTGCACAGCTTGGGCACTGACTCTGTCCCTGCTCCCGGGACTCACTGCCTGGTGGCACCTACAGGAATGCAGGGCCCTGGCAGGAAGGGAAGGAGGGAGGCGTTTGGAGGGAGGCAGTGACAGCAGCACTGGTATTTCTGCCCAGGAGATACCTCATGTTCTGGGCATGAGGAATGCCCTATGCCAGGCTCTTGGGAGCACCGTTCTGTCCGTTAAAGTGTTCTGGCTGGCAATACCAACTCATGGATTTACCCAGTTGGATCCTTCAGCCCCGTTCCCAAAACATTTCCAAGCATTTTGAAATGGGTTATCATATAAGAATCCACACCAGTGAGAACACGGGGGGCAGCCCCCCATGCCCCAGGAGAGGGGGCACAGAGCTGTGCAGGGATGTGACCCCAGCCTGTCTTGCCTAGTGTGTATCCTGTGCTCCAAGGTGGTGAGTCCCAGGCATGGACAGGGGGATCCCAGGCTGCCCTTCAAAGCGCTCAGAGGCCCCAAGACAGCACTTGTGCCCACACAGTGTCCCCCGGGCACATCCCGGCTCACCCAGCTGTCTCCAGCACCCAGCCCGCCGTACCCGCTGCTCTGACTCCCAGGTGTCCAGCACCAGCAGCGTGGTCTCCTCGCCATCCACGGTCAGCCTGCGCTCGTACGCGGCCCCTGCGGGACACCGGGAGAGCTCGGTCAGTGCCGCACTTCCCAGCAGGGTGCCGGGCTCCTCTCCGCCTCGCACATGGGTTTGTCCCATCATGGCGACACGGGATGCCCCGCAGGTGACCCTGCAGCAGATCCCCCCACCAGACACCCACCTCCGTGCTGGTCCAGCAGATCCCTCTCCGGGACGCCGGCGAAGAGGTTGACCAGGCTGGTCTTCCC